TTTGTTTCATCTCCCTCCAAATTTCTCTCAAAATCCCATTCATATTGGAACGTTAGATAGGAAACACATGTGACGAATGATTCAGCATACAACTTGACAAATCTGCAAAAGAACACGCAACAACATTTCGCTCATGGTGACACTGCTTTGGTATATACATAGCCTTTTCACTCATCCCCCTCCAAACCTCTTTTTAAGATCCCATCCATATGGCAACATCAAAACGCCAGGCCGGCAATGCAAACAAACAAATCTTTTCCTCCCAAACCACTTAAATTCACACAACAACGTCTATATCCCTGAGAGCTTAGGCCTCAAAAACCAAAACAACACCATCATCACCGGCGGTATAGACCCTCTCACCCGTTGGGTCCTGAACAAACCCAAGGACGCCACCACCCTCACCACCTCCTCTGTGACCCTTCCACTCCTTGACCAATCCAGTTGGTGCCGCACCGCCTGGGGCAGCAACAGCCTGTTGAGAAGCAGTAGCACCGCGAAGATCCCATCTCCTTACGATGCCGTCCAAACCGCACGAAGTCAACAACCAACCTGCTGCAAGACCGGTAGCAGACCTGACGAAATCGACCTTGACGATCGACTCGCCCTCATGAGCGTTCTTGATATGTTTTCGCACTGCAAAAGAGCGGGCCGTGTCGAAAACTGCTATACTGCCGTCTACTGAACCCGCTACGAGCAGAGTTTGAGGAGCGGGAGCAAAAGTAAGTGTTTCGATGCTATCTGACTGAACATTGAGAGCAGCGAGGATCTGTCCTGCGCCTGCTGAGGGGTCCTGGGATGCTGAAGAGGAGCTGTGCGAAGGAGCGGCACGACGGCCTGCTGGACCTCTTTGAACTGGTACGGGCCTGCTGGCTTGTTTCTGTTGTGGTGGGGAAGAGAGTCTTGGAAGGCCAATAACGCGGATGGCACCGCCTGCACCGCCTACTGCGCAAAAGGCTCCTGATGGGGCAATGGCAACGGAGTATAAGCCGCCTTCGACGAAGAAACGCTGGTCGGTTTCGCCGTGGAGAGAGACAACGGTTTGGCCGTTATCTGTGACAAGGTTCTTGGCTGCTGCTTCGCCGAAGACGTCGAAGACATGGAGGGAGGAATCTTCGGAGACTGTCGCGAGGAGGAGACCGTCGGGGGACCAGGCGCCTGCTGTGCAGGGCATTGTGTGGAGGAAGTAGGATTGAACGATTTGAATTGGGTTAGAGGCGTCTGAAGGATCGATAGTGAAGACCCAGACGGAGCCGTCGGAGGCGCCGAGCGCGATGGTGTTTGGATGGGCGGGGGAAGGGCAAGGGAGAACCCAGTTAACCTCTTCTGTTTCTTGGGATTCGCCGAGAAATTTGAACTGAGGAGGGGTGTTGGGAGAGATTCCGACTGCGTAGACTCGTAGTCTGCCATCCATGCCGCCGCTGACGAGGAAGTCACCGCGGGGAAGGGTGAAAGCAAGGGCATTGATGCTGTCGGTGTGACCGTCGATCTCGAAGAGGGGTTTGAGCTCGGTGGTTTGCTGGGTTGCGGCGCTGGGGTCGGAGTTGAAGCTTGGGGGGAGGACAGGTCGGGAAGCGGCGGCAGAGGTGTCGATAACGTAGCCTTTGCCAGGTGCGTCGTCGGCGTCGCCTTCGGACCCGCCTGTTGCGATGAGGTTGGGGTATACTGGGTGTTGAGCGATGGCGAACACGGAATCTTTGTGGAGATCAAAGTATGCGATACTGTCGTTGTGGAGGAGAAGCTCCTCGGCGTCGTTCATGTCTTCGTCGTCTGAGTCCATCGCGACGTCGCCATCTTGGTCGCCTTCTTCGAGGATCTCCTCAACCTCGTCTTCGTCGATCATCTCGGGACCGGAGTCCTCATCTTCGTGGTGGTCTTGGAGTGGCTTTGAGGAGGACATTTTTTCAAAGGTCTGTTCGGAATGTCTCTGCTGGCCTTTCGGAGGGGAATGAAGCTTGGATGGGAAAGTTGAAGGGTGATTTAATCAGCTGGGAGAGTTGGAGTTTTTGGAGCTTGAGGAATAAGGTGGGGTAAATATTTTTCTCTGGACTTTTTTGATTGATAAGCTGCTTATCGATGGAGGGGCAACTTTTCGACCGAGTTCTCAAAGGATTCTTGGCAGAAACCTTGGTGCTATTGACGGAGAAAATATATTAAAAAAATCATATCTGTTTATTGTTAATTACAAGAGAGCATTTAAAGGAGTTTATCCTCGATGAGTCGAAGCGAATGGACGAGAGTCAGTTTCCTGTCGCATGAGATAAACGGTGCCCAAAACGCACCGCCTGATATCTCTCATTGTCATCAACAGGGCATCAATCCTTTGACCCAATCTTGGAAGTAGTTTCTGAGATTTTCCGACTTCAGATAATATCTGCAGGCAAGAGTTGGACTTGGAATTAATGGGATGAAAGTACAAGTTGTGTCAATTATTGATCCCTGCGTAGCGGATAAACTACGGGCTCCTCGTGTCCACTTTTAACGTCACTCGGTCCCTCGAAAGTCTCTCTTTTTCTCTTTCGTTGATACCTCTGGTCTTTCGGATTCCCAAATCACCCTCCCGAATCTGAACGGGTGGACGTAAAAGGCAAGGGAGTGTGTCTGATGATAGTTCTCATAGAGGTGCGAGATCTCCAGCCATCTGCCCAGGCTCAGTCGGGGTGAGTGGGGAGCGGCGTCCGCCTTCTTCTTGATGCCTGACTCGTACATGCTCATCTCACGTCGTGAGATTTCCATCCACTGCAATGTCTTCAGCACCGCCACCTCGAGCTGTATATAGGCTGTCTTTTATCATTGGTGTGGTGATCTTCATCCTCAAAGTCATTGTCATGGTTGTTTTTGTCTGGGGTTCTCTTGCTTGGTGGAGCGACTTGATATAAGGCCTTAATTGCCGTGACGGATGGTATAAATAGCTCGATTGCAAGTCGTCCGCGTTCGGCGCGAGTTTCGTTCGAGCACGACTGAAGAAAGTACCATGTGCCTTCTTACTCCGTCGTGAACTGCTATCGTTCCCTTTACTCTCATCGTTATCGTCGTTCAGAGTAAGATCGATAACGACTTTTACTTCCTCCTCAACTCCCTTGGCTTCATCATCTTTCTCAAGAGTCAGGTGGATGAGAACCCTAGGATGGCTGGGTAGGGGCGCCTTGATTGTATCCTGCGTGTTATGAGCTGGTTTTGATCAATATTCGTATTCTTTCCCGTTAAATCGATGATATTATCTATTTCAGGCTCCTAAGAGGTCGCATTTCCTTCCATTTTTGGTGATGAGAAGAATACCAGGAAGAAGAACGCCTGGAGAAAAATGGAGTGTGGTCGTCAAGGGAACCCCATCTTCAGTTCGGAGCAGCATACAAGAGATAGTAGTGCGGTGGGAATGATGATTGAAAGTTAAATACCTAAAACTAAAATATCCCTTTCCTACATTTTATTTCTCTCGTACTTCCTATATTTTAGTCCGTCTGTACTGCCTTCTCATTTCAACCCGGTTGATTTGACAATACAACTGGCGTCATGACGATACTCCCACTGTTCACGGTTGGGGTCAACTCAGATCATTCGGTTTTACTTGGTTTAGAAGCACATTCAACTGCAATTTTGGTAGTCCCCCCTCCCTCCCCGAGTCCGTGTCAAAAACCAAAGCTGAATCATTAAGCACCTCTCCAGTTTCGCGACCTACCAGTCAGCGACACCTTACCTGAATTCTTCAGCACCTCCACAGTCCTGTCCACGCGATGTGGTGCCATGCTCTGTACTCCAGGCTCCGGCATTGGTTGGTCCAGCCGCGCCAGACTCGGACAAAATTCGCGTTAGGGGCGCCAACACAGCAGAAAGCATAGATATTAAGTCTCCATCTCGACCAACAAAGCGAGACCTAAGCCATATGTTCAAAAAGCCCTTCACTAAAGCTAAAGTTACAACATAGTCACCATAAAAAGTGAGGAGCAGCACAACAGCGGAGTTAACGGAGAAAACAGATTGGTGGGGGAGGGTAGAGGTTGGTGACGCTGAAAGAACTGTTGAATGACAGTTGAATTTGCTTCTTGATAAAGTATTAGCGAATGGTTCAAAATTCCAGTGAAATATCTCATACCCTGCGCGTTATTATACCGTCTCAAATTGTCGTTATTCTTTCCATGAAGTTTATCGTCATCGTCCAGAGTCAAATCTACAATCACTTTTCCTTGGTCCTTTACTTCAGATACCTTGGACTCCTTTGAGCTCGCACGTTTCGGCGAAGGTGTGTTTCCTGGCATATTTGAAGAGGACTGACTGATTGACCTCCTCCAAAAAGTAGGCTTTCCGCCGTATCCAGGGTTGAGTTTACCATTCTCGTCACGAAGCAACCCGCCCTTGACACGAAGGTAGTAGTTGTGCCAACGAGTGAGATGAGAAGAATGTCGGGAGAAGAACGACGGGGAAGCAGATGATATAGTATACGCGGGAAGGTGGTCTCTGGAGTCGGGGTGTTGTGATGAAATAGCTGAAAAATCGAAATAAGTGAAGGATGGGATTGCAGGGAGGAAACGCAGAAAAGGGTCCAGCAGTGGTCATAGCTCCTCAAGCTGCCCTGCTTCCATGCTGCCGGCTGCCAGGTGCCGGGCCAGGGCTGGTGCCAAAGGGAGCACTCCTGCCCGAAGCACTGCATCTTGAAGGATGGTTGGTCAGGAACGTCGGCGACATGGGATGGATCTGCATGACGGAAGCAGTAGGACCTCTGAATCAGAAAACCTGTATTCTTAGCAATCATGACCAAGCCCAAAGGAGGCCTCTGGTCGAGTAAAGACCCACGAAACAGTGGAAGCCATGGAGGGCTTCTACGGGTATAAGTAGGCTTTAATCTTCCAGTTCAGATTGTAGGAAGGCAAGGACCTCTGAGGCCATAGCAGATTATTACATTGATTTGAATACAAGCCCTATTCCAAGCCCTTACTTCAAGCCCTTGTCACACTGGTATATGGGCTGGGTCTCCGCCAATAAAATTAACAAATAAAAAATAACACCTGGTAGTGTAGCGGTAAGCACGGAAGACCGCTGGCGGAACCTCCCCTTCAGGTTAGAATTCGATTCCTGCCCAAGTCAACTTGGGGTTTTAAGAGGTTACTTAGGATGTGACAGGGCGGCATTAGAAGTCCGGGCAGTATCAAAAAATAATAATATAAAAACAATCTCTCCTGGATGCTGCCCCTACACTCCTAGGTAGTGTAAAGTGACACTACGCACACGGCGGTTTGAAGGCCCGGTTCGAATCCGGGGCAGGTGGTTCTTCTTCTTTTTTCTTTTTTTTTTCTTTTTTCTTTTCTCCTCAATGCTCCCGCTCCCCCTTCCCTCCACCCCCTTTTTCCTTTCTTGTTCTTCTTTTCTTCTTTTCTTCTTTTCTCACTCCTTTTTTTCCAAACTACCCCAGGGCTATTTCTGTACAGCACATGGACATTGCAGGAATTACCCAATCACTCAGCTACCTATGCGTCAAATGAATCAGAAAAGCCTCTGGTCAAATGAACAAAGTGCCGGTGGTTTTGAATCTTTACGGATTCGCTCAATTCCTTAGATATTCCAAGAAACGGCATCGTTGCGCCTACCAGCCATTATAGCCCTGTCACACGGAATACACGGAATACACCAAAACGGAGATACTGTAGAGCTACGCTGGATACCACGATCGGCAATCGACGCCCACAAGGCCGCAGATTTGGGCGCTTATTCATCGTGGCCCTCCTGAAGAAGCTGATGACGAAAATCAAGATACACGCACGCTATGAACATTGAAGACAATATCTTGTCAATAATACCACTTCCCACCTCATAAAAGCATGAAGAAATGGAACCACCGCTATTGTGACACCTTGAGCTGAAGGAAAACTACTCACATGGAAAAAAGTCGCAACATTCCCAGTCACAATGACAACATCTCCGAAGACACAGCCATTGCCCAGGACTTAACAACCACCTCATACGAGTCTCGGCTCTCCCACAGCTAGTCGTCGGATTTAACTTTTAACAAAAAGGTATATCAGCCCCTTCTTGGCCGACCATCACCACCCACGAATCACATTTCACTACTCTACTCCCCTCATTCCGGAAACGGAAATCTGGCGTCCACACGCCGTTGAGCCAAGTTATCGGGGTTTGATCACGAACAGTCTGTCGCATGACGCGTTGGCGTCATCATCATTTTTTTTTCATCGACACAACACCCCCCATCACATTCCCATGATGTTGAAAGTTTGCTGCGGGCTGCCTCCTTAAGTCTTTCACACCTCCAGATCGGACAGCCATCAACAAATATGTGATAACCATAACCTCAACTGGGACGGCGGCGGCCCCCAAAATTCTATTTTCAGACTTGGATGGAATAGGGCCAGGCATGATCAAAGATCAAAGAAACGATGACCCCATTGTCGGGATACGACCATTCCGAACTCGGGTTGTTCCGTATAATGACTGGCTGAACACGACACTGCCTAGACTGCAGAGTCGATTTTCTTTGTTTGCTTTTGGACCACAGACATGTGCCCTGCCACTTCACCCCACACACAGACTTGGTAAGGTGGCTGGACTCCGTATTGATGAATGTTCAAACTCACATGGTAGCTTTTACACGAAGAAGCTTCAGCCCTCAGCTCCGAACATGGTGATGTTGAAAGTTGATTCTTTTCTTAGAAACATGAAGATGACTGGGAAATACTTTCTTGATGGTGTCGACAAATAGATAAATAGATGACTTGTGTCCAGTTTTTCAAATCCAAAAAATTATTATCATCATCAGCATCATCACTTCAGACTCATAAACAGCTCTCATCAGTCTCTTGTACAGCATTTTGATTTCGATTTTGGAAATGATTCCCCGCGGTTTTTACATTGCCCTTCTTTTGGGAGGAGCAGCTTCTGCTCAGATTACCATCAGTCAGGACACTGCTTCGATCCCTCCTTATACCTCCAGTTCCAGTTCGACTTCTACTCGTTCGACTGCCACTCCGCCTTATAGCAGCAGCACCACTGTTTCGTTACACACTACCTCCTCCACGGTCACTCCCCCTTATAGCAGCAGCACTGCTAGCACACTCTCAACTCGCACTTGGACCACCGTCACCCCCCCTTATCCTACTTGGACCCCTGATTATCACTGCAAGAACAAGACTCATTGTGGTGGTATTTGTGGAGATGGGTGAGTAACTCTAAATCCTTATCATTACCCTGACAGTCATCTGACATACTTTAGCTTTGTCGACAAGCCCCACGAAGAATGTGATCTCGGCCCCAAGCTTAACGGCGCTCCCAACAGCGGCTGCAGCGCCACCTGCAAGAAAGTCTCCTGCTGCGGCAACGGCGAGCTCGAAGCCGGCGAAGAATGCGACCTCGGCGATCGTAACGGCCTTCCCAACTCCGGCTGTTCCAAAGACTGCAAGAAAACCCCCTGCTGCGGCAACGGCCAACTCGACCCCGGCGAAGAATGCGATGAAGGCGCCAACAACGGCAAAGAAGGCTCCTACTGCTCCACAACCTGCAAAAAGATCTGCTGCGGCGACGGGATCCTCCAACCCGGTGAAGAATGCGATCTCGGCGAGCAGCTCAACGGCGCCCCAAACTCCGGCTGCAGCAAGAAATGCAAACGAACCCCTAAATGCGGTGACGGCCGTGCCGAATGGCCCGAACAATGCGATAAAGGCTCCGAGAACGGCAAACCAGGTTCCGGCTGTTCCACCAACTGTACTTGTACCCCAATCTGCGGCAACGGCATCAAAGAAGAAGGCGAAGAATGCGACGCAGGCCTCAACAACGGCGCTTATGGTAGTGGATGCTCTTCCAACTGCACTATCTGCGGCTATTGCGGCGATGGGATAGTTGATAAACCCGAAGAACAATGTGACCTCGGCTGGAAGCTCAACGGTGCCCCCGGATCAATCTGCTCGTTAAACTGTACCATCGTTAAACCCAACGAGCCTTGCCCATATGAATGCGGGAATGGTATTCTTGAACCAGGCGAACAATGCGATGATGGCAAAGAGAAAAATGGCAACGCAACTTTGTCACGCTGCAGCACGAATTGTACGTGGACTTCTGGCCCGAAATGCGGTAATGGAATCACCGAGTTACCAGAGGAATGCGACGACGGGGCGGATTTGAATGGAACTCCGTCGTCAAAGTGCTCAGCTAATTGCACCTGGAAATGCAAGGATAAATGCGGACCGCCTAGACCTATTGTCTGCGGTAATGGAATCGTCGAAGCAGGAGAGGAATGTGATGCTGGATATCTGAACGGAACCCCTGGATCAAACTGCACTAAGACCTGCACAAAACCACCCACCTCCTGCAACACGGGGAAATGTCCCTCTAAATGCGGAAATGGAGTTATTGAGTCTGAAGAGGAATGCGACGACGGTTCTCAGCTGAACGGCACACCATCATCAAACTGCGATACAAACTGCAAAAAGAAGAAGACGGGGCCGGTTGGACACTGCGAGACTTGTAACCCAAATCCGTTTTTTAATAAGTGTCATATCACGACTTCTTGCATTACGACGATTGGGAATCCTTTGAGGACTTATTGCGCTTGTAGAGCGGGTTATAGAGCTAGTGGACTGTTGGCTACTGATCAGAGACAGTTTAGGTTGGAGATGCCGGGGCAGGAGTATAGGGTTTTTGTGGCGCCGGGGATTGCGTGTGATGACCTTTGTTTGAGTCCTCATCCGGGGCCGGGGTCTTGTCAGGAGGTGCCGGTTAGGGCTGATTGTTGAGGGGCGGGGAGGTGAGGAATTGGAGTTTGGGTTTGGCTTGATTTGATTTGATTAGGTTATTTGGTAGTTGAGGGTAGATTGTTTGGATTTTTTATTTTTTTATTTGAAGGGGATATAGCAACAGTAATCAATGATCATTTCGAATTACAGTCATCAAGTGAATCAACCAGATTTCAACACCTTTGGTCTGATAATTTGTCTAGAATGACCTCTATATAAAGATCAGTATTTCATCCCATCAGACTTACAGCCCCCTTTTCATCCCAACTTTTGCATTTCAACGGCCATAATATCAGATGGATTATTCTTGACCTCGTTATGCACATGTTGTATTTACTGTACAATACTCTTATATTTCCTGCCATTTCCAAGCTTTAAATCCTATGTAGAAACCGCTCGTAATCGTTTCTGGCCGAATTTCGAGATTCTTCATCTGCCATTACGTGCGGATGGACGTTGTGAAGGTTTTTGACGCATCCAGTTCAAAGTCAACGTACATCCTAATTCCTTTAGCCTATGCGTATTGTAAATAATTTCTCCCACAATAGGCCGAAGCTGTCCTCGCCTCCAACCGAGCCAGAAGTTCCCAAGTCGCTGGTGATGCACTCAAAAACGACCAAGGAGCCAAGGAATCTGATGGGGAAAATTTCTATCATAAGGGATAATGGCAGCGCCATTTCAAGAGCCCACAGAATTGCCAACTACGGTGGCTGTGGAAAGAAACCCATCCTTTCTTTTTTGTTGATGGTTCGATGCAACACAAAACCCGCGCCTTCTTTAAACACATGTATTCATTGGTCCAGGTCAGCCAGCGAGGACTTTCACTTACGAGCCGCGTAGAAAGAGTCCAAATACGAGCCCTGGTCAGAACTCCCGAGGAAGGCCCGAGGAAGGCTCCCGTCAGGAGCGCAACATTTCCGAGTCCGACGCGACCAGACCCTCGACTGAGCAAGGAGAGTATTCAAACCCCACTTTGACATGATCATGCTCTGAAGAAGCCTACTTTCATCTGAAGTTACTCAGGCAAGCATGGTTTCATCTAATATCTCTTGTAAATGTTGAAACTTTTGGTCTCACTTCTGTACAAATTACAATACCCCCCTTAAACGTTTGTTAACACTCAGCGTGATGCTTGAGTTATAATGCCTGATTATTTACATGCCTTTTATATTTAAAAGGTCTTTTTTTGTTTCAGGAACAACTATTCATCTTCAAGATGTCCTTTCCAATATTAAAGATGCGTTTTACTTGATAATCAGGCCTGTTTTAAAACAAAAAAAGGCGTGTTCCATTTCAAAAAGGCGTCTTTTCATTTCAAATAAGCGTTTTACGTTTTCAAAAAAGGCATGTTTATAATCAAGTACAAGTATCACACTACCTTACCAAACGTTCAAAAAGGGGGTATTGTAGTCCTTCAGCGGCTGGGGGATAAGCGGCTGTCATCGGGATCAACAACCCGCCATGCCCGCCTCAACCCGTTTCCAACCAGCGATGTCGGACAACACTCAACAACATAACAACCTCA